AGAGAGAGAGAGAGATATCACAAGTAGGCAGAGAGGCAGGCAGAGAGAAAGGGGGAAGCAGGCTCCCTCCTGAGCAGAGACCCCAATGCGGGGCTCAATCCCAGGACCCTGAGACCATGACCTGAGCTGAAGGCAGAGGCTTAACCCACTGAGCCACCCAGGTGCCCCGCCCTTATTTTTAAAAATCAGATTAAAAAAAGGGCGCCTGGGTGGCTCAGTTGGTTAAGTGACTGCCTTCAGCTCAGGTCATGATCCTGGAGTCCCAGGATCGAGTCCTGCACTGGGCTCCCTGCTCAGCAGGGAGTCTGCTTCTCCCCCTAACCCTCTCTCTCTCTCTCATTCTCTCAAATAAATAAATAAAATCTTTTTTTTTTAAATCAGATAAAAAAATTTAACAAAGTCTAGGAATAAGGCTCTTAACAATGGAGACAAAACTGGAAACTGTAAGGTGAACCAAAAGCAGCATGCTCTTTAATTCCAATGAGATGATCTCTGAGTGAGAGGAAGGAATAATAACCAGCTCAAGTTAAAAAACATTACTAAAAATAAAACCTCAAAGATGGCAAAAGAGATATAAAAACAAAAGGTGACTTTTATATGAAAACAAAAGGGGAATTTCATAATACATTCTAGCTTTTCAGAAATATAAACTATTTTTAGTGTGTTAACTTGTGTGTAGTTTATAGCTCTTGCAATACCAAATTTCTGAATAGTTTTACGAATTTAGTATGGGCAAAGAAGGGACCTAACTACATTTAGGTGATCTGCTTTGTAATAAAGTCAAATTTCCACTTAACACCATCAAAATTGTGTCTAATAAAGATGGGTCAGTGTAAATCCTTGGTTTTATCTGACTATGTTATTAAATTCTAACATACATACTTATAATCCATTCCTCATGTAGGAAAGCTGTCTGCTGAATGATCACTTGAGTCAATGTAAACCAAAAGAATCACAGGGAATACTGATGGCGTCAGGAAATAAAGTTCCAGTTGTGGCCTGGCCCTCTGTGACTCTGAGCAGTTACCTGAACCCCCAGGGCTTCAGATTCCTCATTTGTAAAATATGGAAGCAAGGCAAGATTTTTATATAAATATGTTTTTCTATTATATTTGATCTAATATTTTACCACCCCTAACTCTTGTCTTCTGGACCAAGCCTAAGAAAAAAGGTTAGTTTAGAAGCCCTCAGAAAAGCAGAGTCCTTATTGTCCTATCCTGAATACATCCGCAGACCAAGGAAGAGGAAGTTCTAAAGAACAAAATCAAAATACCAGCAGGGTTGGGGTGTTTTATAAGGTCAACACTCAGAAATACTCCTTTTTCATTTCCACAGGGACCGCAACAGTAGAAACTCTGTAAGACTCTGTGACTTTTGAAGTGCTCCCTTGGGCTCTTTATCTTCTCCCTGCTTCCCCTGTTTTTCCAGTCATTGACAGTACAACAGTCCAAAATCAAGGGAATCGTACGCACGTATTCAGGTAAACAGGGACAACACTAAGGCTTAACCCAGGGTGAGCGAGAGGGAAGGCAGCTGTGACAGTGACAGCGAAGAACATGGGAGAGCCCACTGACGGTGAGGAGATTTTTCACCATCAGAGAACTCCCGTTCTGTGGCTCGTCACGGTGGTATAAGATTAAAAATTCTGCTGCAAGTAAGTGTCCTCCTGCATGCCTGCACTCTTGTACCGACCTGTTCCTGTGAGCTTCTGTTCCGCAAGGAAGCGTTGGATCCTTTCTGGCCCACACCAGCCCGTTTTCGCTTCATTTTCTTCTGCTTACCATTCTTCTGGACAGCTTTTGGGTTTTTATTTTTTTGTTTAACAGCTGAAAACAAAAAAATTAATCTTATGTGTTTAAATCTTAGACACTAAGTGTTAAAAGTTTAATTTTAATTTACGAGAACATGAAGGCACAACAGCAGGTTACTCTAAGGTACACTCTATAGGGGCGCCTGGGTGGCTTAGTTGCTTAAGCGTCTGACTCTTGCTTGCCATAAGCCAGATCCTTTTGAAGGGTTCAGAGTGTTATGGAGCTAAGTAGGAATTGCCATAGCACTCTAGCAGCAAAAGCTTCAAATGTTTAAAATTACCTCATATACTACTGTCAGGGTTTTCACTGAAAACCTTCTACATACAAACATAGGGGAGCCCGGCTGGCTCAGTCAGTACAGCGTGCAACTCTCGATCCCGGGATTGTGAGTTTGAGCCCCACAGTGAGTGTACAGATTATGTCAGAAAATAAAATAAGAGCATCAAAAAAAGAAAAAAAAAAAGGCAGTAAAACGGAGGATTAATGTCTTCCGTAGCTGTCATTTGTCCTCATACCTATGACTAAATTTCATTTTAGTAATCTAAAAGAATATATTTTATTTTAGTAATCTAAAAGAATATATAGTCTGACACACCACAGTATCAGACATTAAGTCAATTCCTCTCTAAACTGAAAGCAATACAAACAGGCACATCTTGTCCTTCATAGGTGCGGAGGCCAAAGATTTTGCCTTCTCCCTTTCAAAGCAGTCATGGGCTTTGATAACCTTCCTGTAAACTCTGCATTTGTACACTGAATGGCCAGGTTGTGGGGGTGGAGTGGGCATCTCAGGCCGTGCAAGCTCACATCTGGCGTAAAGACCTAAGGAAAGCAGGATCTTACTTTGAGATAAAATGCAGGAGAAACTCTCCCCCTCCCCAAACCGCAGTCCATTTACGGACAACTGTGACTGTCTACATAAACTTTAAATGACAAAATAGCTTCACCCTTACCTTTCTGGATATCCTTCACTCCCTCTTTCTTCATTGATTCTTCAGGAAATGGTAAGGATTGCGCGGCATTTGCCATTTCTTTAGCTTGTATATACTGCTGAAGCTCTTTAGCAAAATTATCTTCTGATTCCTGACTGCAGGTCTCATTATCACTATACACATCATAGTCCTTACTTCTTGATTTTCTATATTGCAAATTCTTCGGGGATATTGTGGAGTTCCCAAAGTGCCTAAACTAAGTAAAAATTAAATTTCCAATTTTAAAAAGCTGGCATGATTCAAAACAATCTGGTTATAAAGAAGAAATAAAGACTGGCCATGAACTGATCATTGCTGAGGTTGGGTGATGGGTATATAGGGGTTCGTATACTATTCTTTCCACTCTTACATTTTTAAAATGTTCCAGAACTAAAAACAAAACAAAAACCAACGGAGCATATCCATCCTTGAAAAAAATTTGATGGAAGATTCTGAATTCAGTAATGATTTACGGAATTAAAAGAGTAAACCCCCAAATCTTAATTATTTAATATAATTTATTTGACTGAACTACAGTATTATACTTAATATTTTATTTCTCCCTTTGCATCAACTATGCTTTTAAATGGTTTAATTCAATAACTCGACACTTCATAAAAGAGTAAGTAAACTGTAATGGCCCAAGTGAAAATCCACTATACTAAAATACATCACTGCTAGCAAATCCCATTATTTTTCCTGTAACTCAGCGTTGGTGGCTCACACGGATGACAAGGAACAAAGAACTGCCCAGTTCTCTGTAATCAAGTTAACTTTACTTTCAGAAAGAGTTTTATAACTCTGTTGGTGCAGCAACCCCAAGGCAACAGAAGCGACCACAGATGCCCACAGGAACAGGAAGCCAGGTATGGCAGCTGACCCTGAGTCAGCCTGAGATGATCACAGCAGACAACTTAAAGTATTTTGTGTACAAGAATGTCCAAACATTGGTATACATGTCTACACATGGTGACACAAGGGTATCAAGTTGTATAATTACAGTTAGTATGTATGACACGTTTTAATTAAAAGGCTTATAAAGAAACGTCCAAGTGCTAAAAGGCTCCTATTTTGAGGTCAGGAAGAGATAACATGTCTACCATTAAACTGGCCAATGATCCTGCTCCAGAATGTGCTCTGGGGCCTGGACTCTTATCTACTTCCACTTAACTGATGAAGGCAGCAGACTCAAAACAAACAAAAACAAACCAGAAGAATCGCTATTATAAAATATACCAGGTGGTCCAATTTCATGGCTTACTTTTGATGTTAACTTCAAAGCTAGGAGCTGTATACCAGAAGACTGATCATAGGCCTATGAAATGAATTTGCTCCCTGTGTGAAGAATCAAGTGGAGACAGTTTCCTAACCTGACAATGGCCCCAATGTACACTACCACCTCATCTTCATTATACCAGACAAGACTTTTAACCAATCCAAAAATATCAGGCCACCAAGTTCCCTGTCTCCAATTTTTCAAGAAAGAGCACCATTTTTTGTTTTGTAAGATTTTTTTTTTAAAGATTTTATTAATTTATCTGACAGAGATCACAAGTTGGTAGAGACGCAGGCAGAGAGAGAGAGGAGGAAGCAGGCCCCCCGCTGAGCAGAGAGCCCGAAGCAGGGCTCGATCCCAGGACACTGGGATCATGACCTGAACCAAGGCAGAGGCTTTAACCCACTGAGCCATCCAGGCACCCCAGTTTTTTTTTTTTTTTAAGATTTTAATTATTTATTTGACAGAGAGAGAGAAAGCACAAGTAGGCAGAGAGGCAGGCAGAGGGATAGGGGGAAGCAGACTCCCCACTGAGCAGAGAGCCCGATGTGGGGCTCAATCCCAGGACCCTGAGACCATGACCTGAGCTAAAGGCAGAGGCTTAACCCACTGAGCCACCCAGGTGCCCCAAAAGGGCACATTTTAAAACCAATACCATAGAACAAACTTGTAAACATAACATCTGGCCAGAGGTCTGCAGATGTCAGCCTGGCCTCCTGTTTTTGTTAATCAAAGTTTTGCTGGAATACAGTCACACCCACTCATTCACGTCCCTGTTATCTATACCTGTTTAGTCATGACAGAGTCAATACAGCTCACAGCAACAAGATGCACTACCTGGTCCTTTATGAAAAAGTTGGCCAATTCCTGGGATGATTATTATGTTTACCCTGTTTCTGGCCTTTGATTTTATTTAGTGGGCACACGGAGAATCACTCAATTATGCAACAGCTCCCACAAAGTTTGGCTTAGTCAAATACAGAGATGAAATTCTATTCAGTACATCTGAATCACAATATCACAATGATCCAAATGAGTAAGTGCTCCCTTACACACAAAATACGTACCAAAGCAGACACCCCCTTAAGAGGTGATAACGTGTCTGATTTGTATAAATGAAGAGGTGAGATGACATGGCAACATAAACAAAACCAGGACAATCATCAAGTATTGTACATTAGACAAGAGTATTACTAATTGATATTATTCTTTTCAGATGGCAATGAAGACACAAAATACAAATGACTGCTTTACTACTTTTCTTCATGCAGCCAGCCCTAAACTCATTGCTTTGATATTTGTTATTCTCTATATAATTTAGAAAACATATAAATATACTAAACTTTTTTCCCTTTAATGAAGGAGACTAAATAAAGTTTTGTTTTGTTTTTTTTTAAGGAAAAGATTTCTAATTCAGGAAAATTTATTGAATAGTATGGCCTCCTGATACTCCACAGAAATAAAAGTACAGAAATGTAAAAATAGTTCCATAATATTAGGGGGAGGTGGGGGAGCACATGAAGTACATTCACCAGTAATTAAGAAAAGTCTAACAAATTCTTGGCAAGCTTTTGAAAAACAAAAAGCAAGTTATAATTGGGATGTTGGACTTCAGTTGGAGTGTGAGAAATGGGGCTACAAACTAGGATGGATTAAGATGCTACAACAAAAACAGACAAAGCTATTGTAACAAATTCTCTCTTTCCCATCCCTTACCAGAATACATTCAAAGAGAAATTTGCCCCAGGCAAAAAAGAAAATAAAGAAATGGAATAAAATGTCTGATAAAGCCAGATCTTCTTGTGTGGGTACTAAGACCCCACAGTGAAGTCCTCCACATTCCGGCACTTGGGAGCAACCCCTACCAGAAATATACTCTATCCACTCAATGTACAACAGAAGTTCTACCCTGCTTTCAAGAAGAGATTCCTCACATGGGTCTACGGGCAAAATTCAATGAACAATGAATGAGGGTAAAAACCACACATTATTTACATCAACCTCTAAGTTGACATTTAGCATTCTGCTGTCCTGAACACAGGGAACAAGCAGTAGTATCAGCAGTATCTGCCACTGTCACCAGTACTTTCATATATCACATGACAGTTGTTGCAAATCTCAAAATATCTTTTATGTTCACCACTATGTCAAAGTTACAATAATTAGACCTACTGCTGGAACTTCTAATTATTTAGTGTATTAATGAAGAACATATTATTCTTTCTACATTTTTTTTGATAACTGTATTTCAATAAAGTAAATTTCCTTTAGGGGCACCTGGGTGGCTCAGTGGGTTAAGCTGCTGCCTTCGGTTCAGGTCATGATCTCAGGGTCCTGGGATCGAGTCCCGCATCAGGCTCTCTGCTCAGCAGGGAGCCTGCTTCCCTCTCTCTCTCTCTGCCTGCCTCTCCATCTACTTGTGATCTCTCTCTGTCAGATAAATAAATAAAATCTTTAAAAAAAAAAAGTAAATTTCCTTTGTAATCCAATGTATTTCATTTTATTCAGTAAAAAAACATGATTTTGAGAAGGGATCCATGGGCTTCACCAGGCTACCAAAAGGAGTACAGAGCACAATGAAGGTTAAGAATTACTATATTGGGGGCGCCTGGGTGGCTCAGTGGGTTAAGCCGCTGCCTTCGGCTCAGGTCATGATCTCAGGGTCCTGGGATCGAGTCCCGCATCGGGCTCTCTGCTCAGCAGGGAGCCTGCTTCCCTCTCTCTCTCTCTCTGCCTGCCTCTCTGTCTACTTGTGATCTCTCTCTGTCAAATCAATAAATAAAATCTTAAAAAAAAAAAAAAAGAATTACTATATTGGGGGAAAAAAAAAAAGAACTACTATGCTGGAGGAAACTTACCTACCCACACAGCCCACCCATGTACTGAATGTCCAATCAGGCTTCCCATCTGGAGGAAAAGCCTATAGAGACACAGACCCACTAACACACAAGCAAAGGCCATCCATCAACTCTTCCAGCCTTTCTTAAACCAAGGGACAATGAAGGAACACTAAAACACATCACAAAACTTTAGAGCAGGTGTCATTAAACTATGATCCCAAGGCCAAATCCGTCTTACCACCTGTTTCTGTAATGGTCAGCAAGCTAAAAATGGTCCTCAGATTTTTTTAAATGGTTGGAGGAAAAAACACAAAAGAATAATATTTCATGACAATGAAAGTTATACAAAATTCAAACTTCAGCATCCATAAAGAAAATTTAATGGAACACAGCCACACTCACTCATTTACATACTGTACTAGCTGCTTTCACATTATATAAGAAGAGTTGAGTAGCTGCAAAACAGACCATAAAGACATTCAAGACATTATATATGAAAAAGAGGCCAGAAAGCTCTAACATCAAAACAAAGAACAAGAAAGAACTCTTGAATAGTTAAATTATGAGAAACCCACAATTTAGAAAATGATGCTCAAAAAAAAGATGTAATTTATAATAGTCTCATCAAACACCTAGCAATAAGCCTAACAAAAAGTATAGAAGATGTAAAATATCTACAAAGAAACTTACAAAACACTGTTGAGAGAAATTAGAGGACCTAAAGATTAGACAATTCAATATTCTAAAGATGTCAATTCTCTTCCGAATGATCTGTAGATTAAATGCATTCCCAATGAAAATCTGACCAGGATTTTCCAAGGAACTTGACAAACAGATTCTAAAATTCATATAGAAATGCAAAAGGTGGGGCACCTGGGTGGCTCAGTGGATTAGGCCGCTGCCTTCGGCTCAGGTCATGATCTCAGGGTCCTGGGATCGAGTCCCGCATCGGGCTCTCTGCTCGGCGGGGAGTCTGCTTTCCCCCCCCACCCCCACCCCCACCTGACTCTGCCTGCTGGTGATCTCTCTCTCTCTTTCAAATAAATAAAATCTTAAAAAAAAAAAAAAGAAATGCAAATGGCCTCTCTTCCCCTAACTGGCCTGAGGTGACCTCTGAAAATGGTAAGCTCTTTGTTTGACCTAGAAAACCCTAAAAAATCATGCAAATCAAGAGGTTCAAATCTTTCTGTTCACTTTAAGAACACACATGAAAATGCCCAGGCCACCCAGAGCATGCGTATCTGAAAAGCCACCAAGTATCTAAAAGATATCACTTTGCATAAGCAGTGTGTACCATTCCATCACTACAGTGGTGGAGTTGGGGGGTGTGCCCAGGCCGAACAGTGGGGCTGGACACAAGGTCAACGGCCCAAGAAGAGTGCTGAATTTTTACTGCTTAAAAATGCAGAGAGTAATGCTGAACTTAAGGGTTTATATATCAATTCCCTCTCTGGTCATTGAGTACAGCCAGGTGAGCAAAGCCCCCAAGACGCGGCGTAGAATTTGGAGGGCTCACTGTCTGATTAACCCGTATATGAGCTCTCCCTGCCTCATCGAGATGATCCTTACTGAAAAAGAGCACATTGTTCCTAAACCAGAAGAGGAGTTTGCACAGAAGAAAAAGATATTCCAGAAGAGACTGAAGAAACAAAAACTTATGGCCAGGGAGTAAATTCTACATGGAATAAATGTAAATAAAAATAACAACAGGAAAAAAAAAAGAAATACAAAGGGCTAAAAAAATACCCAAGACACTTAAGGAAGAAAAACAAGGGGAGAGGATTTGGTTACCTGACATCCAAACTTATTATAAAGCTGCAGTAATTAACATGGTGAGGTCCTGGGGGAGGGCTAAAGAGATAAACCAGCAGGAGCAAACGGAGTCTCTGGGGTACCGGGGTGGCTCAGTGGGTTAAAGCCTCTGCCTTCGGCTCAGGTCATGATCCCAGGGTTCTGGGATCAAGCCCTGCATTGTGCTCTCTGCTCATCAGGGAGCCTGCTCCCCCTGCCCCTCTGCCTACCTCTCTGCCCACTTGTGATCTCTGTCAAATAAATTAATCAATTAATTAAAAAAAAAAAAAAAGCAAACGGAGTCCAGAAACAAACCCATCAAACATGAGCACTTGATTTTGACCATGGTGACACTGCAGATCAGTGAGGGCAAAGACAATTCTTTCCCCTCACTGAATGGTGCTGGAACAACTGGATATGATACCATGAAGAAAAAAAAAAAGTAAAACAAAATTTGTCACCCCTTCTTCACAGTTACAAATAGAAAAATCAATTACAGATGGCTACAAACTTAAATGTGAAAAGGAAAACAATAAATCTTTTGGAAGACATCATAGTAAAAGATTTTTATTATCTTGGGATATTTGAATAAAACACTAACTATAAAGAACAATAATACATTTGAATATACTAACATTCTGAACTTTTAATGAAAAAATACCATTGTGTACTACCACAAAATGAGCAGATATTTGCAACACATAACCCACAATAAAAGGAAAAAAACCCCTATGATCCAAAATAAAGAACTACAAATCAAGGGAAAAAAAAAAACACAGACAAACCAATAATTATAAGACAAAAACATCTGAACAGGCACTAAAAAAAGGGAAATCCAAATGGACCAGCATATGCAAAGATCCCAACAGTGATCAAGAAAATGCAAACTTAGTTACAATGAGCTACTTCATCAGATGATGAAAAATATGACGGATGACAATACCAAGTGAGAAGCAGCAGAAATACAGTCCCTCTGGGAATAAAATTGGTAGAACCACTTTGGATTGGAGGACAGTTTGGCATTAAGGTAAAGGTAAAGATGCTTATACTCTAAGACCCAGCAATTTTACACTCCGGTAACTATAGAGTGCAAGGGCAACAGGATACAAGCGAAAGAACGTAGCAGCACTACCCATTACCTCCAAAAATGGAAATCAGACCAAATGTTGACCAACAACGAAATCTAGTATATTCAATAATGGAATACTATCCAGCTCAGAAAATAAAGAGACAAGTATACATCTATTAATCTTATAAATATAATGTTGGGAAAAAGACAACAGAAAAAACACATATAATACTATTCTATTTCTATAAAGTGTAAAAATTGGCAAGCAAAAACTGTATTTTTAAGGCTGACAGCATTAGTAGTAAAACTAAAACTGTAAAGAAGGGCAAGGAAGTGGTTAGCATGCAAGTTAGGATTCTAGTTACTTCTAGGAGGAAACAAAGGAATAATGACTGAGAAAGAAGGCAGTAGAGGCTTTGCGGGCAATGTTCTTTCTTGAATTAGCGAAGTCTCTACTTGGGTGTTCTCTTTTAGTCAGCTGTGATATGGCACATTGATGTTTTACAACTTGTGAGTAAAGAGCCTGGGCCAAAACAAGCCTACTTAGGAATAATGCAGGTGTCCATCTAGTCACAGAACTGTTTATTGGAATCTATTTTAAGTAACCGTAGCGTGTTCTGCCTGCCCATCTCCTATATTGGGTTATACATGGATTAGGGACCTTTAACTGGGCATGAAGGACTGGGGTCTATGAGACTAAGACAGTATTAAAAAAAATACGCATAGGTGGCTTAGTCGGTTGAGTGTCAGGCTCTTGGTTTCGGCTTGGGTCATGATCTCGGGGTCATGAGATCAAGCTCCAAGTAGGGCTCCATGCTGAATGTAGAGCCTGTTTGAGATTTTCTCTCTCTCTGCCCTTTTCCCCACTCATACGTTCTCTCACACGTGTATGCGCTCTTTCTCGCAAATAAATAAATCTTTAAAAAAAAATGGAGGAAAATCCAGGCCAGGGTTAAGGTTAAGACCCTGGCTCTGGTTCACAACAGCCATACATGCCCCAAAGGGTGAAAGAAGTTATATACTTGGGTAGTTGAGAGGCTTGCTGAGGAGATGAGGATGCCATATCTCCTGTACTTTCTGTCCTGTACACTTTTATGAAGCTAAGTGTAAGAGGATCACATTAAAGCCTATTTGTGTCTTTTGAGTCTCACTGCCAATTCAAACCCATCATTTTGTGGTGTGTTAAAATCCACAATAAAAGGGATGCCTGGGTGGCTCAGTTGGTTAAGTGGCTGCCTTTGGCTCAGATCATGATCCCAGGGTCCTGGGATCGAGTTCCGCACTGGGGCTTCCTTGCTCAGGAGGAAGTCTGCTTCTCCCTCTGCCTGCTGTTCCCCCACACTTGTGCACGCTCTCTCTCTCTCTGACAAATAAATAAAATCTTAAAAATAAATTTTTTTTCACAATTAAAAAAAAGTTCAAAGAGAGGCAAGAGAGGAGCAGATATTGGCTGTTATGGGTTGACTGTGTCCTCCCCAAATTCTCCTGATGAACTCATAACAGTCAGTACCTTACTATGTGGCCTTATCTGGAAACAGGGCCATTACATGTGTAGTTGGTTAAGATGAGGTCATTAGGGTAAGTTGTAATCCATTATGACCAGTGTCCTTATAAAAAGGGTATATTTAGACACAGACATATGAACATAGGGAGAACACAATTCGAATATGAAGGTAAAGATCAAGGTGATGCTTCTGGAAGCCATGCCAAGGAACACCAAAGATTGCCAGCAAACCACCAGAAACTCCCGGAGGAGCATGAAACAGATTCTCCCTCACAGCCCTCAGAAGAAGCCAACTCTGCCAACACCTTGATCTCAGACTTCCAGTCTCCAGAAACACAAGACAACTTCTGTTGCATAAGTCACCAATTTGCAGTCCTTTGTTAGGGCAGTCCTAACAAAGTAACACAAGCTTTAAGCTATAAATCAGTAAGGTTAGTTATTACCAAATCAAAATCCTTAAAAATTACGACCTAATTTGCAAAGAGAAGTTTTTGAAACCATTTACAACCCATTTCAGAAACAGGGGAAACCAAAATAAAAGCAATACACTAAAACAGTTCATGTTAAATGACTGAATGATAAATTTTCTGAAGTGTTATCAGGTTTCCTTGATATAAGCCAACTAGGTCTCCAATGCTGACTAAACCGGGACAAACAGGACCCCTAACAAATTTCTCACACCCACTCCTCTCCATTTTTTTCAATATGCCAACTTAACCTTACTTTTTTGGGTATTTGCTCACATTCCAATTTTACTTCCCATTTTATTTTCTCTTCTTGTGTTTTTCTTTTCTCTTCTTGTGTTTCTTCAACTTCTGCATCATCTATTCCATCATCAATTCTGCAGCAAAAATATCAAATAAACATAAGAAGTTTTTTTCAATCTGAAAATGGTTCATAGCATAACATTAAAATGAATGGCTTTGGCTTATCTTCTACTTGCCCTCAAAGAAATTCCAAACTCAAATTCTACTCTAAATACTCCAAGGAATAATATACAAATTTAGGATGAGCAGTACATGTCAACATGTGCTTCTAAGTAAATCAGAAAGCTGAAATTGTAGATTACATAACCTTCATGGTCTAGTAACAGGAGCTATATAAACCACCCATTCATTCATCACTGCATTCATTCAACAGATACTGAGTATCCGCCATATACCAGGCTGTAGGCCTTAAATCCTGGGATACAACAATGAAAAAGACCTGGTCCCTGCCTTCTGAGAACTTTCTATGTGCTTGGGAGAAAAAAAATAAAGCAATTTTAATATAGTATGTTAAGCATAGGTACATACATGAGGAACACTTAACCGGTCAAGGATCGTCTAACCTTTAAAGATATGTACGATAAAAGAAAAAATAAAGCCTCCTACCCCGCCAAAAAAAAAAATATATATATATATATATATAGAGAGAGAGAGAGTTAGCAAACGGGGCACCTGGCTGGCTCAGTTGGTAGAGCGTGTGACTCTTGATCTCCAGGTTGTGACTTTCAGCCCCATGTTGGGTGTAGAGATTACTTATAATCAACCAATCAACTTTTTTAAAAACTTAGAGGGGCACCTGGGTGGCTTAGTTGGTTAAGCATCTGCTCAAGCCTTGATCCTAGGGTCCTGGGAACAAGCCTGGAATCAGGATCTCTGCTCAGCAAGGAGCCTGCTTGTCTCTCTCCCTCTCCCTCTGCTCCCTCCCATGCACTCCCTCTCAAATAAATAAAATCAAGAAAGAAAGAAAGGAAGGAAGGAGGGAGGAAGGAAGAAAAGTTAGCAAACAAAGAGGACCATCACGAAGAGCAGTATTTCAAGTAGAACGCAATGTGCCTTTCAAGGTCAGGAGAGAGCCTAACTTACATTCAAGTGGGAAGATGACAAAGAAAAGTTGTTTCCAGACTCACAAGCACAGGAAAGTCAAATATGCAGAGAGACTGCCTGAGACAATAACCGAGGATATTCTACCAAAACTAAAAATGAACCCAAGAAAGATGAAGGTGGGAAGGTGATCAACAAAAATGTCACTGAAATTTATAGGTATATCTAAGTAACGGCTTACACCATAAATACAAGGGGCTGAAAGCAGTTGTGTCTGGATGAGGAGTGACTTCTGAATAAAAGTTTAAGTTCCATGCCAGATAAAGGCAAGGAGGAAGCAATGTGTGTGTACATTCTCGAAAAACAGGTTACAACTGGAATGCACTACTAGCACAAGAATATGAATAATGGCTCTGAGCTTCCTGCAAAGTTACAGGAGGAGCTCAGGCTTTCCAGCTTCATCCAATTCAACAATTTACCAGTGATCTGTCCCTAGTCAGAGTCTCAGAGCTTCATCTCAAATAAGGCGCCAAGATGTGAGCCTCTACAGAAGCCATCACAAGACCCAATAAGCCACATACTGTGAACCTTCACTACTCCAGTTATGAGTAATGAATCATCTTATGGAGTAGGAAGCAGCCTCTCCAGAGGCAAAGCAATACTGACAATGATGACTCCAAGGGCAGGGACAGCAGCCCCTGACACTTATCAGCGTGCTTACCCTGTGCCAGAAGCGTGTCCGCACACATCACCCACATCACAACAGCCCTATGACATACGTACTGTGGTGGAAAGCCCATTTTACAGACGAAAACAGAATTACAGGAAGCTTACAGAACTTGCCATACACCTAGTAAATAGGTAGAGCTGAGCTCTGGGCCCACTTCCTAGTCAATACATCCACCGGGATAGCTGCTTGGCATATTTTTAATAGAGCCCAAACTCAACTCTTGACTTAATCATGCTGGGTTTTTTTTTTTTTTCTTTTTTTTTTTTTTTTTTTAAGATTTTATTCATTTATTTGAGAGAGAAAGAGCATGCACAAGTGGGGGGGAATGGCAGAGGGAGAGGGAGAAGCAGAGTCCCTGCTGAGCAGGGAGCCTGACACCGGACTCTGGACACAGGACTCAGGACCCAGGACTCATCCTGGGATCATGACCTGAGCCAAAGGCAGACGCTCAACCAACTAAGCCACCCGGGTGCCCCTCTCCTGTTATTTTAAAAGATTTTATTTATTTATTTGACAGACAGAGATCACAAGTAGGCAGAGAGGCAGGCAGAGAGAGAGGAGGAAGCAGGATCCCTGCTGAGCAGAGAGCCCGATGCGGGGCTCGATCCCAGGACCTTGGGATCATGACCTGAGCTGAAGGCAGAGGCTTTAACCCACTGAGCCACCCAGGCGCCCCTACTCTCCTGTTATTTTAAATAGCAAATCCGTTCTTCTAATGATACTGACCCCAAACTTTGTAGTAACTTATACTCCTTCCATATCCCCCATCCAATCTGTGAAAAATCCAGTTTATCTTCAAAATATATCCTTATTTGAGCACTTCTTACTACTAATACTATGATCCAAGCTACTCTTGCCCTGTTACATTCTACTCTCAACACAACCACAATGACCCTGCTAAAATGTCACTCTTGTTGCAAACCTTCTAATAGCCTTTCATCTCATTCAGGGTAAAAGCCAAAGTCCTTATGGCACCTACAAGTCCCTACATGATCTGCCTCCCTGACCATATCCCCCAGTACCTCTTAAGTCCTACTTCTCTTCAAGTCCTGCTCCTTGAACTCCACTCCAGCTGTCATTCTGGCCACTTTGTTCCCATCACCCAATCACACCATGCTCACTCCACCTCGAGACCTTTATATGGACCTTTATATTCTCTCCGCTAGAAACCAACCTGCCTCACTCCCCTACTCAAGTATTACTTATCAATGATATTACAAAGGCTTTAACTACCTTCTTTAAAATACCTACATTCAGGATACCTGGGTGGCTCAGTGGGTTAAGCCTCTGCCTTTAGCTCAGGTCATGATCTCAGGGTCCTGGGATCAAGCCCTGCACTGGGCTCTCTGCTCAGCAGAGAGTCTGCTTCCCCCTCTCTCTGCCTGCTGCTCTGCCTACTTGTGATCTCTTTCTCTGTCAAAGAAATAAAATCTTCTAAAAAATAAAATAAAATATCTACATTCTCCCTGCCATCCCATCCTCTCTTCCTTCCCTGCTACCCAGCTTTCATTTTCTTCATGGTATTTATCATCACCCAAATACTATCTATTTATGCATTGTGGGGGGGGGGGAATATAAATCTCATGAATATGGAGATTTTTATCTCTTTTGTTTATTTATTGCTATAGCCCCAGGGCCTAGGATAATGGCAGGTGCTCAAGAAATAAGTAATCCCCTCATAAAATTACTAAGAAAAAACTCAGAAACCATAAAAGATTGATTCCTATAAACTCATTTAAAACAAACAAAAAAATCCTTTATGCAATGAAAATAATGCCATAAACAGAGTCAAAAGGCAAATAACAAATACAAAGTAAAATATCTGCTGATAAGAGTTCCTAAAATTTTAAAGAGAAGGACCAATGAAGAGAAAAACAGGCAAAGGATATGAACAAGGAACTGTTCACAGATGCTCTTCATCCTTCAATACCATTCCACATCTAACATTTGGGCAAAAATTCAGAAGTGTCTTTTATGTAGTTTAGTACAGTTTTCATGAATAGACTCTTCTGTCCCACACATTTTCAAACTGATAGATGCTATTGTTTTCTAACATGCGGCTATTGTCTTGTGATGATTCACCTTGCTGAATTCTCTTATGGATTTTAATAGTTTATTAACGTTCCTCTTGTTTTCCTTTGTAGGTGGATCATATCATCTGTAAGTTATTAATGTCTTTCTCTCTTTTCAGTATTTATAGATCTTATTTTATGTTAGTTATTTTGCCTTAGAAACAAAGAAATCAAATCATGGGCAACTTGGTCCTAGCTTTGCCACTTAAATTGTGCAATCTTGGCAAGTTATGTTCCTCTCTGTGCCTCAATTTTCTCATCTGCAAAAACAAGGACAGTTTCTTTTCTTCAAGGTTAAGATTAAATGACATATTTCACGTAAAGCACTTAGTAAAACTTTTGATGGCAGCCTGAATTAAAGTAATAGTTTCAATTAAGGTATAAGTGAACAAATCTGAGCGATATCAGGAAGTAAAAATCAACCAGACTAAGAGAATGAGTGAAATAAAGGAACAAAAAGCTGTGTGTCTCCGTTTCAGCTTAAGGAAACTGGGGAAAACACACAGGTTTAGAAGTTGGTTTTTAGCACTTCAAACAGAAACAAAGTAAATGAATATCTGGGTATAAGTAAATTACACTATACACCTCTCTAAATGAGATCAATAAATTAGCACCATTTGGCTAGTAGTGTCAGTCCCTTTCTCAACCTAAAGGAAACGTTACATCCAAATGATGTTTGCTGCTTTACTGTGGTCTTTAGGGTCTTCTGATGCAAATCAATGAACTAAAGGCAAATTATTTACTATTTACCCTCATTGCTTAATAAACTTAGGGTTTCGGGTTTTTCTTGAACAAACAAACAAAAAATGGTGTTTAACATGTGTCAGTGAGAAATGACAAATGATCTGTCCCCTACGAGCTGACGGTCCGGTGGAAAGAAGAGTAATGTGGGAACACACGGAGGTTTCCAACCGAGTCTCCAGGGTCAGGAGCGCAGGGAAAGGGGAGCCTCCTGCGATCGCTCCCTGGACCCGCTGGTCCCCTGAAGTAGGGTCCCGGCACCTCTGGCCGTGGCGGCTTACGAACCGGGCCCCATTGCCGGTTTCTGTTCCCGCGGCTCCAGAGCGACCTCTCCACGTCCGACCCCCGCGCCTGCCAGGCTGACCCCACACGCTCGCCCACGCACTCCCCGCACGACCCAGCGGCGTGGCCCACACGCGGCCCGGGCTGCCTCCAAATGGAACCAAAAGGCGGAATCCGACTGGGGCCCCTGCGATCAAAGCATGAAAAGATGGGGAATCACCTTTCATCAAAGTCCGTGGTCGGTTTTTTACCCAGGGCCGGGTTGGGGGGTTTGGAGAAAAGATTCTCAAAATCCATCACCCTCGCTAGGGCCCGGCAGCTAGAGTAACAACCACCGCGTGAGGAGGAGGGACCCAGCTCCGGGCTCCGGCCGCAGGTCGCCCCGCGCATGCGCCGCCCCGCCCCCGCGCACGTCCGCTCGCTCCTTCCCCGGGACTCTGCGCAGGCGCCAGGATAATTGGGATTTTTGTTGTCTGTGTATTTTTTTAGTGTGCATTTTGATCTGTTAGCTAACATATTAGTTGGAATTTTTAACCTGAATCCTTGGAAGTCAGTCCTTGGGAGTTCTTTCCCTTTCATTAGGGGTAAGTGGGTATTCCATGTGGAGAGAATAGTATCAAGGCCGGAAAACAAAGCACGCATTTGGGAAAAAGAACTGTTGAGTTTTGCTTACTCTAATGCCTGTGGAAGAGTGGAAGTTGTGGGAATCATGAAAGCCTCAAACGCTAGACATCGAACCCGACAGGCTCCTACTAGTGAGCGACTGTTTGATTCCCAGCACGAATCAGGGTCCACTTCCCAGACAAGCGAAGAGAAGTTGTTTATATTATAGGCAATCCTTTCTTGTACATCAGTCATTACTAAAAATTGAGAGGAAAATTGAAATGAATTAAGGTATTACCCCATTTGGAGGAAAATACTATACTACAGAACTCAGATTATTATCATCCATACGTTTTCATTTTTAAAAAGTCCAGTGTACAGCAAAAGATAACCAGTCTGTGGGAAAAAATTAAAATGGTAGGTAAAAAGCAGCAAATGTAGCAAGAAAAACTGACCTGCAAAGGCATCAGATACTATCCTTTTTAGATAAAGACTATAAAAGGCAAAGTATGTTTGTGATAGATTTGTTACAGCACAGATCACTGGTCTTCCAAACTTTCCCAGAAGATAAGGCCTACTACATTTGAAAACAGCTGCTGCTGATGCCCCCAGTTCTATTCAGGGTCATTTCAACGTATGACTAAGCACCTGGGCACCTGCTTCTGCAAGTAGCCCTCCTCTCTCTTTCCCATGCCTTCCCCATTAAAGCCTTCCAGCTTCACCTGGACAGGGAAGACGGTCTTTGAAACATCTGTCAACCATCTGCATATCTCAAGGAAAGGCTGGTTCTGCTATAGACTAAGGGACTTAAATCACCAAGCAAGGAGTGCATAGGCTTGAAGCAAGGTACGCTTAAGACCATTAGAGTGCTTTTACAGATTGATTCTAAAAAATGGGCCCTGGGTGCCTGGGTGGCTCAGTCGTTAAGCGGCTGCCTTCAGCTCAGGTCATGATCCCAGGGTCCTGGGATAGAGCCCCACATCGGGCTCCCTGCTCAATGGGAAGGCTGCTTCTCCCTCTCCCACTCCCCCTGCTTCTGTTCCCTCTCTCGCTGTGTCTCTCTGTGTAAAAATAAATAAATAAAATCTCAAAAAATGGGCCCAATTCTCTACCTTTTATATACCCACATCCTTTGCAATATGACTTTGTAGCTCTTCCCATCAAGTGGTGGGATCTATTTCACCACCTCTTTCATCTGAGTTGAATTCATAACCTACTTTTGCTAATAGAATGGAGCAGAAAAGCCTTGCCAATGCCAAGCTGGGGCCCTAAGAGGCCGTGTGTGTGTCTGCTCTCTCTTGAACTCCTGCCTTCTCCAGAACAACAAGCCCAGGCCACCTTGCTGAAGAGAAGGGAGAGACATGTGGAGAATATGACAAAAGGAGGAGAACAGCAACACCCAGTCTACAGCTAGCAAAGCCCTAAAAGCAAAGCTGCCAAGTCAACCCACAGCTGACCACAGACACACAATGGAGACCAGTGAAGAACTGAAGAACCTCCCAGATGATCCCAGTCCAAACTGGTGACCAACATTGTAAGCTAAATAGTTGTTTTAAGCTACCATGTTTTAAAAGAAGCTTATTATACAGCAAAACCTGACAAAAAGGGAACTATAAAAAGTGACATTAAGGAGTGGAAAAGAGGGGCGCCTGGGTGGCTCAGTCACATGACCCAGTGCCTTCAGCTCGGGTCATGATCTCAGGGTTCTGGAATTGAGCCCCGCATTGGGCTCTTTGCTCAGCAGGGAGCCTGCTTCCCCCCCTCTCTCTGCCTGCCTCTCTGCCTACTTGTGATCTCTGTCTGTCAAATAAATAAATAAAATCTTTAAAAAAAATTAAAAAGGAGTGGAAAAGAGCCAAGTAGAGCTTTCAGAAATTAAAAATATGATATGACATTAAAAATTCAATAGATGGTATGGTACTCTTAAAATGTGTTCACAATTCTGGGGCGCCTGGGTGGCTCAGTGGTTTGGGCCGCTGCCTTCGGCTCGGGTCATGATCTCGGGGTCCTGGGATCGAGTCCCGCATCGGGCTCTCTGCTCAGCGGGGAGCCTGCTTCCCTCCCTCTCTCTGCCTGCCTCTCTGTCTGCTTGTGGTCTCTCTCTGTCAAATAAATAAATAAAATCTTAAAAAAATGTGTTCACAATTCTTTAACACTTATCCCATCAAAAGATGGAGCTTATTCCCCTCTCCTTAAATGTGAACTAGATCCGGTGACTTCCAAAATACACAGTGTTAGATGGTGCCCAACTTCTGAGACTAGGTGGTAAAAAGCACTGCAGTTTCTGCCTTCCTCTCTTGAATCGCCTACCTGAAGGGAAGTCATTCACCATCTCAGAAAACACTCCTGCAGCCTGGGAAAAGCCGACCGTGTGAGTGGGCCACCTTGGAAGCTGATGGGCCAGCGCCACTCCAACCTCATAAGAGACTCTGGGACAGAACCACTCAGATAAGTAGCTCCAGAATTCCTGATCCAAAATAAATAAATAAGAAGATAAATGTTTATGTTACTGGACTCGGTTCTTCGGACCCAGCAACGGTAGAAATGAGGCTGGACCCAAAATTTAAAAACACAGGGAAGGCAAGGCTTTATTATAGGGGCAACAGCTGCAGCTGAAGGGAGACACAGTTATGACAAAGGGGTCAAATAAAATGCTCTCTTGCTCTCTGAATAATAAACAGGGAAACTTATAAAGGGGCTGAGGTGGGAAAGGAGTGATGTTTAAGCACGTAGGGACAGGGAATTCCAGGGAATTGGGGACACAGGCCCAGTTGACAAAACTGTGCTTCTTCCTCTATCCTATGTTTCATTTGCATGTTTTCTCCACCTCTGGGTGTGTGTTTTAGCATAATAATAAGGGAAAAAATCAGTGAAAGGTAAGTTTGCTGCCCATTTTATCTTAGGCTAGTCTGAACCTGGTCTAGGCTTGTTGCTTTTGCCAGTGCTTTGTTCCGCAGGAAAAAGCGCTAACATCCTACAGGTTGCTCTGTAAGAGAAGTAATAACAGCCACCCAGGAGAGTCCCAGGTACATAGGGGCTTCTTCTTAAGGTCCCTGTCTCACTTACTGTGTTTTTGGTTTTTTTTTTTTTAAGATTTTATTTATTTATGAGATAGAGAGAGAGTGCACACACACAGGAGAGAGAGACAGGGAGAAGCAGACTCCCTGCTGGGCAGGGAGCCCAACGTGGGGCTTGATCCCCAGACCCTGAGATCATGACCTGAGCCAAAGGCAAATGCTCAACTGCCCGAACCACCCAGGTACCCCTCATTTATGTTTTAAACCACAAAGTTTAGGGATAATTTGCTATGCAGCAATAGATAAGCGATGCCCTTATCATTATAAAGCAGCTGGCCTAAACAGAATTATCACATGACCCAGCAATTCTACTCCTGGGTATATACCCCAGAGAATTGAAAACTGGGATTGAGACAGAGATGTGTATACTCCTATTCATTGCAGCATTATTCACAAGAGCCGGTAGGTGGAAACATCCCAAGTATTGGATAAATCAAATGTAGTAGATACATACAATGGAATATTATTCAGCCATAGAAAGGAATGAAATTCAGACACATGCTACAACACAATGAACCTTGAACACAGTATGCTAAAACATAAATACTGTATTTCTGCTTATATGAGGTATTTGGAATGGGCAAATCAGAGAGACAGATAATAGATTAGAGGCTTTCAGCGCTGGGAGAGTGGGAGATGGGAGGGAGTTATTGCTTGATGGTTACAGTTTCTGTTACGGGCAATGAAAAATTTTGGAAGTAGACCGTGATAGTTGCACAGCAGTGTGACTGTAGTTAATGCCACTGAATTGTCACATCAAAATGGTTAAAATGGCAAATTTTGTATTATATATAATTTACCGCACAAAAAGCAACTGGCATAATAAGATGGTGGAATGGTCTCTTGAGTACCAGTTTCTGTACTAGCTAGATCCAAAGCACATGTTTTGTGAACATATGCTATAAATCAACCACCAATGATATGGTGCTGTGGGGCACCCGGTGGCTCAGTTGGTTGAGTGACTGCCTTTGGGTCAGGTCATCATCCTGGAGTCCCGGGATCAAGTCCCACACAGGGCTCCCTGCTCAACAGGGAGTCTGCTTCTCCCACTGACCTTTCTCCACTCATCCTCTCTCTATCTCATTCTCTCGCTCTCTTTCTCAAATAAGTAAATAAAATCTTCAAAAAAAAAAAAATGGTGCTGTTTCTCCCATAGTCAGGATTCATGGGCATGGGAATCAAACCATGGAAATAGGAGTCGACCTTTCCTTTATTATCCCTGTGACACCCTAGTAGAGTTTTGCTTTTTTTTTTTTTTTTTAATTTTTGCTTCTAATCTTCAAAACTTTGAGTTCTGCTTGTCAAGAGCAGAGTTTTTCAACGTCAGCATTTTGACATTTTGGGCTGAGTAATTGACAGTCCTGTGTGTAAAAGGATGTTTAGCAGCATCCCTGGCCTCTCCCCACTAGATGCCAGTAGCACTCCTTCCCCTGTTGGCACCTTTATAGTGATTACAATATTTGTGTGCATTAAGGCTGGGATGACTGTCAAAGATAAACAAAGCCAGACATTAAAGTAGCAAAGACTGATTTTATTCAGAAACTATTGACTGAGGGTAAAAGGCTGAACTCCATTCAAATTATGTAGAGATGACTGGGTCCTTTTTTTTTTTTTTTAAGATTTTATTTATTTATTTGACAGAGAGAGAGATCACAAGTAGGCAGAGA